CTGCTCGACAAGATTCAGCCTGTGTGTGCAGTCATCACGTGACGTCACTGACATAGGGGGAAGTCGACAAGATTCAGCCTGTATGTGTGAGGTCATCACGTGATGCCACTGACCGCCGAGTAAACACAGGTGAGGTGACGTCACACTTGTTTAGACCAGTAGTAAGAGAAAGTACCATGCCCCATAGGAGGAGTTCATTTGAATGCTTACCCCCAGAGGGGAGAATCCAAAAACTTGATCCAAGGAGATGGAGTCTTGGTATTATCGAGAAAAACTTGATCCAAGGAGATGGAGTCTTTGTATTATCGAGAAAACCTTGATCCAAGGAGATGGAGGAGGAATATTTGGGGTTAAAGTGGGAGTCCATTTTGAATGCTTATCCCCAGAGCGGAGAATCCAAAAACTTGATCCAAGGAGATGGAGTCTTGGTATTATCGAAAAAACCTTGATCCAAGGAGATGGAGGAGGAATACTTTGGGGTGAAAGTGGGAGGGGGGAGGGTGTTGATCCGATGAGATCATAAGAAATTCGAACCCCCATAGGGGGGAATCCAAGGAAGTGGAGGAGAAATATATGGTTTAGAGGGTGTTGATCCGAGGAGATGGAGTCTTTGTATTATCGAGAAAACCTTGATCCAAGGAGATGGAGGAGGAATATTTTGGGGTGAAAGTGGGAGTCCATTTTGAAATGCTTATCCCCAGAGGGGGGAATCCAAAAAAAACTTGATCCAAGGAAGTGGAGTCTTTGTATTATTGATATCGAGAAAAAACTTGATCCGAGGAGATGGAGAGCACAAGAAATTCAAAAAAATTTGAAAAAAATCGGAAAAAAATTCGGGGAGCGGGGGCTATCCGGACGACGCTGCAGAAGGCGCGGGCGGGCGCGAGGGCGGGCGCGGGTCGGCACGGGCGGGCCCCCGGTCGGGTGGGCGCGCGGGGCGCGGGGTGGGGTCATGGGTGGGGGTCGTGGGGGGGGTCGTGGGTGGGGTCATGGGTGGGGGTCGTGGGTGGGGGTCGTGGGTGGGGGTCATGGGTGGGAGTCGTGGGTGGGGGTCGTGGGTGGGGGTCGTGGGTGGGGGTCGTGGGTGGAGGGTCGTGGTGGTCGAGGGTGGGGTCGTGGGTGGGGGGTCGTGGTGGGGGACGTGGGGGGGTCGTGGGTGGGAGTCGTGGGTGGGGGTCGTGGGCGTGGGTCGTGGGTGAGGTCAAGGTCATTAGCATAAAGGTGTGAAAAGGAGACCGCTCAGCCGCAGCCCTTTGGGAGGAGACAGCTCAGGAAGAGACCGCTCTGTAGAAATCATCACTACTTATATATATATATATATATATATATATATATTTATATATATATATATATATATATTTATATATATATATTTATTATATATATATATACATATATATATGTCGTGCCGAATAGGCAGAACTTGCGATCTTGGCTTAAATAGCAACGCTCATCTTGCCATATAGGACAAGTGAAAATTTGTGTATGCAATAATTTCGCCAAAATCATTCTGAACCTAACGAAAAAAGTATTTTCACTGTGTTTGTTTGTATTAAATTATTGTAAACAAATCTAAAATATATTTAGTTGGGTTAGGCTAAAATAAATTGCGCTTGTTATAATAAGGTTAGGTAAGTTTTCTTAGTTCCTTTTGGTGCAAAATTTAAAAAATTTTTACATCAACATTAATGAAAAAAATATATCTTTAAACGTATAAGAGTAAATTTTAGAAAGGTCTTAATTTTAAATGAGTTCTTGCTAATTGACCAGTTTTGCATTATTCGGCACGACATATATATATTATATATATATATATATATATATTTATATATATATATATATATATATATTATATATATTATATATAATATATTATGTATGTATATATATATATATTTTAGGAGTGAAGAGAGGCAGGATGTGAGTGTGGGGGAGGTGCGTGAGGACATTGTGCAGAACAAAAGGGGGTATTAAGCAGCTGGAACTGACGTGATGATGACAGAAATGTTAAAAGCTGGGGGGATATAGTGTTGGAGTGGTTGGTATTTTTGTTTCATAAATGTATGAAAGAGGGGAAGGTACCTAGGGATTGGCAGAGACCATGTATAGTTCCTTTATATAAATGGAAGGGGGACCAAAGAGATTGTAAAAATTATAGGGGAATAAGTTTTCTGAGTTTAGCAGGTAAAGTGTACGACAGAGTTATTATTGAAAGAATTATAGGTAAGACAGAGAATAGGAATGTAGATAAGCAAGTAGGTTTTAGAGTGGGTAGGGGATGTGTAGATCAAGTGTTTACATAGAAGCATATGTGTGGGAAAAGTATTTAGATAAAGGTAGGGAAGTTTTCATTGCATTTATGGATTTAGAAAAGACTCATGAAGGAGCGCATAAGGGAGCAATGGGGCAGATTTTGCAAGTGTATGGAATAAGTAAGTTATTAAATGTTGTAAAGAGTTTTTATGAGGATAGTGAGGCTCAGGTTTGGGTGTTTTGAAGGAGGGGAGCACTTCCCTTTTTTAAAATTTTTGGGTCTTAAAAAGGGTTTGGAAATGTCCCCATGGTTGTTTAACATATTATAGATGTGGTTGAAAAAAAGAAGTAAATGCTGGGGTTTTTGGGGAGGGGTGCGTTTAAAAAACTAGGGGGAATAAATCAAAATGGTAGTTGACGGTTTGGGAGGGTGTGTAAAGGTAGAAAGTTAAAAAGTGAAAAAGTAAGGGTAAGGTAATAAAGGTATAAAAACGATGTGGGATAAAGAAAAAAAAATGGTTTCAAAAGGAAGAATGAATTTTTTTTCAAATATTTGCGATTTGGGGACTTGTCAGCGGAGGGGTTTTTGTGAAGGATGGGTTAACCATAGAATTGATGAAGAAAAAAAGGGTTTGGACAGGATTGGGGGTATTGTGGAGACAAAAAACGTTATCCATGGAGGCAAAAAAGGATGTACGAAAGTATAGTAGTCCAAAATTCTTAGGGGGGTTTTTGAAGCTTGGGTTTTTAAATGCTGCAGCGAGGGGCGGTTGGAGGCAGTGGAGTATAGAAATTGGAGGAGGTGTGGAGTTACTAAAAGCATTTCAGAAGGCTGAAGGGGGGTTGTTGGGTTCGGTCTTTTAGAGAGAATGGATAAAAGAATGATTTGGGACAGCGTAAAAATCTTGGGGCAGGAAGGGGGGGGTGCCCTCGAAAAGGATGGGGGAGGGGGAAAAAGGGGTTTTGTGGGCGGGGGGGCTTGGACTTCCAGAAGTTGTGTGAGCTGTTGATACGGTGAAGGAGTCGAAGGGTTTTTTGGAACCTGCGGTTGTTAGAGGGAGCAGGGTAAATATTTTTTGAAGGGATTCAGGGAAACCCTTTTACAGTTAGCCGGACTTTAAAGGAGAATTTGGGGGTATTGGAAGTTTGGAGGAACTTCAAACGGTTTTTATTGGCGCCCCTGCAAAAGGCAGTGATGTTAAGGTGAAAGTGTGAAAGTGATGAAAGTTTTTCTTTTTTTGGGGTTTTCTTTTTGGGTCACTCTGCCTTGGTGGAAACGACCGACGTGTTGAAATATAATTTATATTTAATATATATTAATATATTATATATTTTAAAAATTTTTATATTATATTATATATATTATATTATGTCGTGCAATATGTAAAATGGTCAATTAGCAAGAACTCATTTAAAATTAAGTCCGTTCTAAAATTTTTTCTTTTACGTTTAAAGAATTTTTTTTTTCATTAAATGTTAATGTAAAAAAATTTTTAATTTTTTCACCCAAAAAAAATCTTGAAAAAATTACCTAACCTTATATAACAAGAACAATTTATTTTAGCTAAAACCCATAAATTTTTTAGTTTGTTTACAGTAATTTAATACCAAACAAATACAGTGAAAATATTTTTTTCGTTAGGTTCAGAATTGATTTTGGCGAAATTATTGCTTTACACAAATTTTCACTTGTCCTATATGGAAAGGTTTGAACGTTGCTATTTAGCCAAGATCGCAAATTCTGCCTATTCGGCACGACATATATATATATATATATATATATAATATATATATATATATATATTAATTATTTATATATATTAAAATATATATATATATATGCAATAAGATCACGGGTAAACAGGTGATTTCAAAATATGAAAAACAACCATTTCTGAAAGAATAGAGAATTCCAAGCGCTTTCTTTGTAGTCACGAAAGCGCTTGGAATTTCTCTATTCTTTCAGAGTGGTTGTTTTGCATATTATATATATATATATATATATATATATATATATATATATATATTTTATATTATATATATATTATATATATATTAATATATATATATATATATACAATAGCTTTTATGAGAATTATAAGCATTCTTATACCTCTTGTAGACCAGAGCATGCAGAAGAGATTAAAAAAACATTGAAAACTCTGTAGTTGCACTGTGTGTGGAGTTAACGCAGAGTTCACCGGGCGTTTGCTCGACTGTTTGCTGTGTTGTCTGGCTCGGTGTGTATTTTACTGATAGTATGTTTTCGTTGTTGTTTGTACTGTGTACATTGTTCTCTATTCATTTCGTCTCTCCCAGAGATTGAACCTCGGTCATTTAAGTTGTGAGCTGAAAGATTCACCACTGAGTAACTGTTACCCATCCAATTAATTTTTTTTTTGTAACATTTGTAACATCTTTAGCATATTCGAGTATGTTAAGGCAAACATGTCTTTTTTCTCAGTACATCAGTGGTAGTACACACTGTTCACAACCAGAGGTCCTACAAAAAGGCGAGTACCTTGTGCAAGCAGCAAATACGTCCTGGTCTCGGAAACAACAAAATAATTTTATTAAAATGAACCTAGGTTATAAAGGCATAAGCAAGTTAATACATTTTCTCTAGCATCCCCAGGAAACACATAAGTACACCAATGATAAGAAATCACACTGCCTGTCTTGCATTATCCTGCGTTGCTAACCTCCCTCCACGAGGGACTTTCATAATTTTGTGTTTTTTTTTCCAGATGACTGAGCTCTCTGATAAAGTCCTCTGGATCGGTGGTCGAGCTGGTCTTGACTCTGGGTACGACTGGATTGACGGATCTCCCTTCGACTTCGAGAACTGGAGAAAGGGGCAACCAAGCAACGTGATGGGTAAGTTATGTATATCGCCGAATGTTCATTGTTTATTGTATCAAACGGAAGGGATACACTTAGCAGTGCTTCTGTTTGCAGATGATGTGAAGTTAATGAGTATTAAATCGGATGAGGATCAGGCAGGGCTAAAAAGAGACCTGGACAGGCTGCAAGCCTGGTCCAGCAACTGGCTCCTCGAATTTAACCCCGCCAAATGCAAAATCATGAAGATCGGGGAAGGGCATAGAAGACCGCAGACAGAGTATAGACTAGGTGGTCAAAGACTGCAAATCTCACTAAAGGAAAAGGATCTTGGGGTAAGTATAACACCGAGCGCATCTCCTGAAGTGCATATCAACCAGATAACTGCTGGAGCATACGGGCGCCTGGCAAACCTGAGAATAGCGTTCTGATACCTCAGCAAGCAATCATTCAAGACTCTGTAGACAGTGTACGTCAGGCCCATACTAGAGTATGCAGCACTGGTTTGGAACCCACACCTGGTCAAGCACGTCAAGAAATTAGAGAAAGTGCAAAGGTTTGCAACAAGACTAGTTCCAGAGCTAAGGGGATTGACCTACAAAGAAAGGTTAAGGGAAATCGGTCTGGCGACACTGGAGGACAGGAGGGTTAGGGGAGACATGATAACGACATACAAAATCTGCGAGGAATTGACTGGGTGGACAGAGGCAGGATGTTCCAGAGATGGGACACAGTAACATGGGGGCACAGTTGGAAGTTGAAGTCAGTTGAGCCAGAGGGATGTTAGGAAGTATTTCTTTAGTTATAGAGTTGTCAGGAAGTGAAATAGTCTGGCAAGTGGTATAGTGGAGGCAGGAACCATACATAGTAATTTTATGATGAGGTTTGACAAAGTTCATGGAGCAGAGAGAGAGAACATAAGAAAGAAGGAACACTGCAACAGGCCTACTGACCCATGCAGAGCAGGTCCATGTCCCCCCCGGATTAGACCAATGACCCCCCCGGATTAGCCCAATGACCCACCCAGTCTGATCATCTCCACTCAAGGATGGAGAACTGCACCAGACCCTGCAGCACAAGCTAGTCAGGCCCAACTCACACCCACCCACACCCACTCATGTATTTATCTAACCTATTTTTAAAAAAACACATACGTTTTACCCCGAATAACTGTACTGGGGAAAGTTTGTTCCACTCATCCACAACTCTATTCCCAAAACCAGTGCTTTCTATATCCTTTCTGACTCTGAATTTTTCCAACTTGAAACCATTGTTGCGAAGTCCTGTTTTGGGCTGGAAATTTTCAGCACGCTATTTACATCCCTTTATTTATTCCTGTTTTCCATTTATAAAACCCCCGATCATATTCCCCTAATTCTACGCCATTGAGAGAGTGCAGATTCAGGACCCTCAGTTATCCTCATAGGGAAGATTTCTGATACATGGGATCATCTTTGTCATCCTCCTCTGAAACGTTTTCCAGAGCTTTATATCCATTCTTATTACGGTGACCAGAACTGAGCAGCATAGTCTAAATGAGCCTAACCAAAGATACATGAGTTGAAGAACAACCTGAGGACTTCAATTATTTATACTTCTAGATATGAATCCAAGAATTCTGTTAGCTTTATTGCGAAACTAATCCCACTGTTGTCTTGGTTTTTAAATTACTGCTAACCAAAACTCTAAATTTCCTTTTTGAAATTTCAGTAGTATTAAGATCTACATTATTTAGTTTTATATGTGGCATGGTTATTTACCTGTCCAACATTTAGAGCTTTGCATTTGTCAATTTTTAAACTGCATCTGCCACTTTTTCCGACCATTGCATCAGTCTATTCAAACCCATCCTGGAGTGCTCTAGTTCCTCTTAGAATGAATTTGGGCGGCCTATTTTGGTGTCATCAGCAAATTTGCTTATGTCGCTATTTATTCCCTCTCTATGTCGTTTATGGGAAATTGTGAACAACAACGGGCCAACACTGACACCTGAGGAACGCCGCTTGGACGTGCCCCCATTCAGATTTCTCCAAATTTATGCAAACTCTCTTTCTGTCTATTTGTCAGCCATGCCTATACCAGAAAAATTTAAATCTCCTCCTATTCCGGGTGCCTTTAGTTTCCCCCAATGCCTGGGTGTGGAACTCTATCGAAAGCCTTACTGAAGTCCATATACACAATATCATATTATTACCATGATTTTACCTCCTCAAACACCTTAGTGAAAAAATTAGTAAATTCGTAAGGGCAGGAAAAGCCCCTTTATAAAAAACCCTGTTGAGATTCAAATCAATCTGTGCCTGTCAAGATGGCTATGAATTGCTTCGGCAATATTGATTCCATAAATTTTCCCACTATGGAGGTAAGGCTTTTTGGTCTATAGTTCGAAGCCAAGGACCTGTCACCTGCCTTGTAAATAGGTATTACATTGCCATTTTTTCCCCTTATCAGGCACTATGCCAGTTTGTAGTGATTATGGTTAAAAAGATTAGCCAAAGGTTTTGCTAAGTTCCTCTTTACATTCCTTTAATACCCTTTTCAAAACAGTTCATCAGGGCTGGGGATGTGTTAGGTTTAGTTTTCTATTTGTCTGAGGACCCTGTCACTAGTTACCGCAATCGTACATTTGTTATTATCATCGTGTTCTACATAAAACTTTATTTCACGAATATCGCTAGTATTTTCCTGGGTGAAAATGAGAGGAAGTAGGTTTTAGAATTTCACACGTATCCCTTTTCACTGTCAGTGATCTGACCAAGTTACTCTTAAGTGGGCCCAATCTTGTTTCCCCAATCTTACTTCTGTATACTGAAAGAATCCTTTAGGGTTAACTTTGAATCCCTTTTGAAATTTAGCCTCATTAATCCCTTTTTGCTTTTCTTATTCCTTTCTTTATTTCTCTCTTTAATTGAATATATTGATTTCTTAAAATGCCCCTCCCCTCTTTTGATACGCCTATATATGCCTCTCTTTTGACCAATGAGATGTTTTAATCTATTGTTTGTCCATTTGTTATCACTTTTGTTAGATCTAATTTCCCTACTCGGAACAAAAGTTGTCTGGGCAGCTAGAACTATGTTCTATAAAACATCATATTGGCAACCAAGATCACCTACCTGACCCATAGTCAGGACCATTCCATTAGCCCAACCAAAGGTAATTTTTCAGTCCTATGAAGTCGGCCAAGCGAAAATCTGGGACAGAGATTTGATTGCAGATACCTGGGTAATTCCATGATATATTAAAACTAAGTGATTTGTGATTTACTTTCCCCAAGCTCATCATTAACCTAAAGATTATTAATTAGTGACTCTTTGTTGGCAAGAACCAAGTCAAGCAGATTGTTTCCTCTAGTTGGTTCTGTCACAACCTGTTCTAAAAAGCAATCCTGAACGTATCAAGGGAAAATCACTAGACTCAAGATTTCCTTTTTCATATTGTTCCAATCAATTTGTCTAAAGTTAAAATCTCCCATTATAACAACATTTTTCATATCTAGATGCCTTATGAATTACGTCCCCTAACAGCTTACTGCACTCCCCATCAAGGTTTGGAAACCTATAAATCAACCCAAAATTAATTTGTCATGTCCCTCGAGAAACTGTAGTCAAACAGATTGTGTGTTCGATGTCTCTAATCTTTATATCATGTCTAAGACAACAATTTTTAAAATTTTTTCTGACCTTTCATCGCCACCCCACCACCCTTCCTGTTGACCCTGTCAGTGTGGAATAGTTTATAACCTGTATGTTGCATTCAGAAGGCATTTCTTATCTTTCAGGTTGAACCAGGTCTTGTTATACCAAAAATATCTATATTACCTACACTTGCAAGTAATCTTAGCTCATCTATCATATTTCTTAGACTCCTACTATTTGTTTTAGTAAACATTAAGGAGCTGTCACTCGTTGCCCTTACTATCCCTCTTTGTTTGTTGATCAATTGATTTGCCATTACTAGCAACTTTATTTGAATATTGTCTTTTTTAAAAATTATCCCTGAGGTATCCCGGTAATAACTGTGTTATAACCCTAATGCTGCAGCCTGATTGTTTCCCCCAAACACCCATACCTCTGTAATTTTATCAGTTTAAAATTTCCCAGACAAAGTCATCAATTTACCCTCTCAATTGGGAAATTTGGGTAATGCAACCCCTCCATCCCAGAGAGATGGACCCCCTCCCTTGCATACATATCACGTTTGTCAAAGAATAGGTCCCAGTTACCAATGAATGGGATTGCAAGTTCCTTGCAGTACCTGTCTAGCCAGCAATTTATACCATTGCCCTAGACATCCATTCATTGCCCACTTCCCTTTCTAGGCAAGATGTACATATGACTGGGATCCCTCACTTAGGCCTAACTACTTCTATGGCTGACCTGTACTTATCCCGCAGCTCCTCTCTCCTGCCCTTCCCCCAAAGTCATTACTCCCAGCACTAAGACAGATAATGGGCTTGTTCCCATTACCTGCCATAATATTATCCAACCTGCTGACTATGTCACCAACACCAAACTCCAGGAAGACACACTCTCTGTCTGGGCCTTTCTGTCTCTGTTACGAAATGCACGGGGCCATATATCTTTTCCCGAGAATCGCCTACTATTAAAATATTCTTACCTTGATTAGCAGGGGAATCAGTGGTACCTTCAACCTCACTAACACTGAAGTACATGTCTTGGAGAACAGAGAATCGATTTCCTACCTTCACATTTTTCTCTATTAACTCTCCTCATCTTCCTTCTTCCTGAATGTGAACCACTTTGCCACTTTTAAAACGGCTGCCACTCTCACTGTGATGACCATTCCTTCCCTTTCCAGTTAAATCCTTCTCACACTCGCTCCCAAACTCATCTAGGCGAAGCTTCAGCTTCCTATTTTCCTCCTGGGAAAAAGTGAACCTCCTTCTTCAAAAACTTTAACCTGAGATTCTAAAACACTACAACCAAGCCATGGGGCTTGGGTAACAGTCCACGCTAACCCAGAGTTAGGACAGGTATGACCGCAGGTGACCAGTGACCTCGCGTAATGATTTC